TCTTTTTATTAATATGTCCGTACTGCATTTGAGACCTGAGCTAATGTATCTGTATGGCATCTTACTGTGCTGAGTAAATATGCCAGTGCTATTTGTCACTACAGCAGGGGCTGCAGGAGCCTTGTCATATGGCATCAGCATGCTTATATCACAAGCTAAGGCTCCACAAAGGGAGCTGGTAAAAAGTGGTTATTCTAAGCTGTTTCCCTGTGGAGATGGACCATAATGTATGCAGGTGATTTGTGACTCCAGGAGGAAAGGGTAACGACTCCTGGGCTTCCTGTTTAGGCGCATGCCATTTTCCAATTAAAGGTAGCCATCTGTTCAGGCATTCTTCTAACAATGTGAGTACTGTATGTAATTCAAGCTCTAATACAAACCACCAAAAATCAACCATTCTCTCATCTCAAAGATATTAGTAATCTCTCCATTACATTTGAGGTCAATTATTAAATGATTCTTCAAATCAAGATTCAGTTCTCCCTTCTCAGGATGGGTGAATTGCCCTTCGTGGTGCTCTCGTGCCACTGGCACCCCTATGTGACGGGTGGGGGTGCACTGCTGCTGCTGTCCCAGGTCTGTGTGGGCTGATAAGGGAACTAAAGCTTTGTCAGGACAGAGTCCCTGTTTTTGAGTGGGCCATGGGCTATGTTCCTTCCCCTAAGGAAGGGCTTTCATGAATGTAACCATGGAGTTTTCCCAACAGGTCCATGGACTTTATCTATCAGATCACAGTGTGCCAGACCTCTTTTTATCTGTGTCCTTAAATTTTAAAAAAGGACCTCTTTAATAGCTTAGAGGCATTTAATTTGCTTTAGTCTGGGTCTCATTTGGGATGAATTCTCTTATTCCTCATTCTGACTAGTGAAGAAGATTGCAAATGTCCCAGTGACACTCCGCCAGCAGCTGAAGTCACAGTGGAAGCAGCAGTCCAGGATGATTTTGCTGTCCGCAAAACCAGAGCAAACAGAAAGGCTGGTAGCCTCAAGCAGAAGTTTGTGCATTTTGGGCCAGTAACTGAGATTGATCAGCAGAAGTGGGACAAGCTCAGCATCGGCAGAGCTTCACGCAGGTGTGAAGCAGAAGAAAGCAGGAAAGACAGAGTGAAGGTTCACTCGGATGTTGAAAGCTCTCTTCCAACCACTGCTGGCAGTCTCCAGTTTGCTGAGCACAGTGATGCAGTATCTAAGCCACAGAATGAGCCCAGGTATTTGGTGTGGCTTAGGATGCACTGCTGAGCTGGAATCTGGACCTGTTCCCACAGGAGGCTGGGCTGCATGGGGGTGGCACATGCATAGGAGCTGCTTGCACGCTCAGCCCTGTTCAGAAGGCATCTGATGCTTTCCCAGCATCATAACATGTTTGGAGTTATGCAAAACAATGCTGTGCATATGCCTTCCGAGCATTTACCTCAACAGCTCTGGCTAGTGGTGAAATCACTGGTATCTCAAAAGCTGAGCTATCTTTAAAGCTTTCTGCCTCATGATCTCCAGCAGCTTTTCTCTGCCTGCTTTCATTGCATTAGGAATTTCTTGCTCAGCTTTCTGGCCTCACTGCTCTTCAGAAAATGCTTTTTTCAGTCCTAATGGATTTACTTTCTTTTTGAAGATGTAGTGCTGTGAAACTAAGGTGTATTGGTGCTCTGTGTTTCTGGCATTTATCTGGAGAGAATGACAGCTCAGGGAAGTTAACATATTAACAGAGCCTAAATTTATTTGTCTTTTCTTTAATTGCTTAGTCTGCAGCTATAGCAAGATTTTTTTAATGAATGCATTTAGCAAGCAATTCTTTCAGTGAAATTTGTGTGCTTATAAACCATGAGCAAGCTGAGTTGAAGGACTCCTCCCCTTTTGTTTCATTTTACCTGAGAATATTTTGTCTACCTCATGCTCTTCATGACCCCCTCACTAGTGAGCTAGCGCAGCCAGGTACAGATGAACATTGCAGGAGCATGCCATCACTTGCTACTACTGATGTCATCTCTGAGAAACAAGAAAGCACCAAAGAAGAAAGCAGTGCACATTTACCAGACATTGAGAGAGACGATATGTTGGTTAGAAGGATGGGGACCTTTCAGAGACGCACAACTAGCACTGTTCCAATACACTGTCCTCCTCTGTCAGTAGCTCAGGAGAAGGATTTGAAGACTCCACGGGAAGCAGAGAGGTCAGAGAACAGAAGCAGATCACTCTGAGCTTCATGCCTGGTTTGTGTGTGGTGTGAACTTGGGTCAGTCAGCAGTATTATTCCATTCTACATTCAGCCTTTAAAGATGTGTTTTACTCATTCATCATGGCATGTGTTCTGTTTTATGAAATTACTTACAAGAATGTATCCTATGAACATAAAACAGTCTGCTTTCTTTCATAATATTTAAATACTTCAATTGTTAATTGCTGTTCAGCATGAAAACAGTCTTTCATCTTTTGGGGGGATTTCTTTTGCAATCCATGGTGCTTTCTCCAGCGTTTTATGCCAATTTCTAAGTGAATAATTCCTTGCATATATTTTTATGCAGTCTCCAGCTTCTAACATAACACCTACATAAGTGTGGCATTCGGTGTAGTTTCCTCTTGCTCTCCCTCCTTGCACTGTAGTTAAAGATGCCTAGTTGTCCATCACCCTGCAGCTGTGTTTTGAGTAGCAGTACCCCATGTTGCCTCAACAGCCGCTTTCCTTTGGGCTGTACAAGTGAACATTATCATGGAACAGTGTCACTTGTCTCTCTGAGCAGTATTGTAACGCAAGAAGAGAGCCAAGAACAGCTTGAAATCCCTCATCAGCAGAACAGTGGAACAGAAAACAAAGTGAAGTTTCCAGATCTGCAAAGAGATGACATGTTGGCCAGAAGAACTGGAGCTTTTCTAAAACAGCCGGGGCCAAGTGTTAAGCAGTTCCTTCCCATGCCATTTTCAAAGCAGCAGAATAAACAGGGCACAGCTAGAGAACTTGAAAAGAAAACTGTGAGGTAAGAAATTCCACTCTCTCTTTCCCTTGCAGTGAGTCCTGTGGACTGTTTGTCAAGATCTCTCGATCTGGAAGAGTTGGTGTTGGCCCAGCAGTCATTTCTTCCATATTCATCCTTGAATCTATGCTAACTCATTCTGCTCTAGTAAGCAATGTAGGTTTTCTGGCCTTTTTGGTAGAGCCTTGCAAAGTCTTAGACCAAAGATGTAGCGGATGCAAAATTTTAACAGCATGTGAAAATTGCTTCTTATATAGCAAGATTGTATGACATTTGTAGAGGTTTCTACTTAAATAGGAGCTAATCATTAAAAATATTTCCAGCTAGAAACAGAGGAGGTGGATACAGTGGATGAATGTTTGTCTATAGCTTAGATGGTGCCAATGAGTCCTAAACAGGATAAGAAAGTTCTGGAAATAGATTCCTCCTGGTAAGGTTTGGTGTCTTTGTTTAGATGAACAGCACAGTGTGGGGAAGATGGAGGTTTAAGTCTTTGAACAGAGCCGTGTGTTGGCTGTTTGAGCTATGTGCAAGCAAGACTGGAAAGTTATCGCTCATCAGCCTCTTCAAAGTACATGAGAGAGGAAGGATACACACACACCTGTGCATACATAAATGGAAAATAATGTGCAGCTTAGCCAGGAGTGGCTGGGTGTTGAGAAGATCTTCAGCTGAACAGCTTAGTTAAAATACATTCTCAAAACTTGAATCTTTGGGAATTTTATGTTACTGGCATAGAAGAATGGAAATACAAGCATTTTTGCTGTATTCTAATTGTTTTGTGTACCTATAAGCTGTGAGTTTGTAGAATTTTTTTTATTAACTTGCAGTCACACTTTTCATTATGTATATGTGATTTTTCGAATGCTGTTTAATACATTTCTTTGCACTGCTGCCTTTGGCTCACTCAGGCCTGAAAAATGTCCACAAGTCTGCATTACTAGCTCTGGAAAACCTGTAATTCTACCTCAGCATGAGCAGCAGCAAGGGCAGGAAAGATGCAGTCTCCCTCCTGCAGGACAAGAGGATACTGTGTGCACTGCCCAAGTGGGTGATCATATCCTTAATGAAGTCCACCTTGATCAAACATCTAAGCTTCAGGTGGTTCCTGAGGAAAACAGAACTGAAACATTGTCATCCAAGGATGAGCATCTGCAAACGTGAGCTCTGTATGGTGTGAATCACGCAGCTTGTACACTCTTTGCTCTTCTACTGTGTGTGCACTTCAGAATTCAGATTTTGCATTGCCTGGTGTGTTTTCAGTCCAGACTAAAATACTGTATGTCTGTACACACTTCTAAGAAATGAAAAGAGTATTTGTGTAACGTTTTCTTTTCTACAACTAATGAAAGCAAATATTTGATTGCAATATCTGTGCGCATACAGAAATCACTTATGAGTAGCAGAAGTTCAGCCAGACTCTGCTGGGCATCTCTAGAGATGCATGTCTTGCTTCTTTGTGATCAGAAAATGTTGCAGTGTCGACTTTTGTATTTGATGTCATTTTATGATAAACCCAGATACGGACACATCATTTGCATGACTCTAAACAAGACAGGCACTCCAATGAATGACAGTGACTTGTGTATTACCTGTACCTTTTTTCAGCTGCACCAAAACAAACAAAAAAAGGAAATCTTGTGGTAATGTTGATTTGAGCACTGCTGTGGAATGCAACCATTAAGTTTTGTCTCCATTCATCATGTATGTGGCACTTTAATGTAAATGTCAATATATTGTCTACTTTCAAAAACTATTTTCTACACCCACTTTAGGTATACTGTAGCATTTTTATAATGGGGGTATTAGGCAGGGATGAATGATGTTTTTGGGCAGTCTGACCTTTGGATGATTAATAAGGTAAGTGCTGTGTGTTGAATAGATCATCTCTGAACAGTATGGTTCATTCTCTTTTGGTTTGCTCTACCAGGACAGTTTGGATGTTCAAGGGAATGTTAACCAGATTTTATGGGTCCAGTTGCAATTAATATATAATGTGTTTATCAACGCTCTAATTTTATATTTGGTCTTGTAGATTCGGCCCCAGAACTGCTGTGTCTGATGACGCAGAGTAAGTTGTCTTGTGTTCACAAGATTCTGTTTTAAACAACTTACACTGCATGCTTTCCAGTCTTTCTACTAATGTAAAATGCAGTTGATGCCTCATAATTATTTTTCAGTGTTTCAGCAAATAAATTTTTCAGAAATGTACTGAAAAATGGAATGCAACATGGCTTACACTGCAGCTAAAAATAATTTATACATAGAAACTCATAAAAACTGAGCATAACACTAATGTGCAGCTTTTGCTTAAAGCATTATTTCTTCTTTTTTTTTCTTTTGTTTTTCCTTTTTTTTTTCCTTTTTTTTTTTTTCTTCTCCTGAGTTTCCATTGCCTCTAATCCACTGTAGGTTAGGAGATTTGGGTCTCCTAACTGGGTATTGGAGGAAAAAAAAAAAACCAAGTGTGACCTATACGAAGCCCAAAGCAAAATAAAATTCATTGTGATATTCAGAATAATTGTCAGGAATACAAATATTCAGCTGTTACATTCTTGTATTTTAAAGCTTTCTTTTCAATTCCTTTTAGGTTGGGTTTACTTTAATAATATACTAAACTTTACTTTTTAAGCTTCTCACCTCTGTCCTTTACATTTAACCAAAGGAGTAGGATAGGGGCATTTATAGCAATTAAAACTTTCATGTATGGATGAATATGAACTGTAGTTCAGAATAATGTACAGTGTTATTTTAAAAGTCATGGTGGAAAATTACAAATTGCAGGAGTTCAGAAGCAAAGAAATAATTAAGGACTACCCACATAACATGTCTTTAATATCCTTATTTTGTTCACAGAAACACATGGAAATTTCTCTGTCTCCCAAATTAAATCACGAAATAAAATGGCATAGAGGCTTTTTTTTAGTTTACAAGATCTGTAGTGTACAAGTGTATCTCTTTTATGCTGTTCAAAGCCTGTGTTCGCTGCCCACAGAGCCACAGAGTAAACATAATTATTTTCAAGAAGCAGAAATCCTATCAATCAAAATGAGAAATTAGATAGTGTAACAACACAGAATTGTTATGCTTTACAGTGGTGCCTCTCCTGCCATTTCGTAGAGCATTACCTATCTCATTGATTTGCTTATTTGTTTCCCCACAGTTTTGCATGTCTGTATTAAATGCAAACATGAGAGAAAGTACATGGAGGCATCAGGGTGTGTTTAGTTGTATTATCTGAGAGTAGAGAAGATATGAATAAATCATATTGTTTATTTCACATGGATTTTGTTTAAAAAGGCAAAACAATACATGTTCAAGCCTTATTGTCATCCTTTCCAGATGTGCCACGGTTTACAGAGCAACTATTTTCCTAAACTGCCTGTAAAATTCTTATAACTGCACGGTTGTATTTTTCCTTCTGAAGAACTTGCAAAAAATCTAATAAAATGTGGCTCACAAGTAGGAAAAATAAATTGAATTGACATTTTAAATGCTTCCAAAATGTTTGTCAAGTCTCCTTTGAAAATTGTGACTTGTATTTAGCCCTAAACGTGGAGCTATTCCGGCAGCAGAACTGCCATGTTAGACTGACCAAGTTCTCGTTGCTGGTTCGTCACCACCAGATTGTGTCAGCAGCCGCAGGGCTGTCTCCAGCTCCCAAAAAGGCAATCCTCAGCATAAATTGGAGTAAAGGAGACAGCCCTGGCTAGATGTTGTGATTGCTTGGAGTCCATAGCCTTTATTAAAGGCAGAGGACAGCAGTGTGAGCATCCCTCTTTTCTTTCTCTGCTCCCAGACTTTTCTGTGGCCTTCTGTCAGGTTTCCAGTTCCTGTTGCTTTTCAGTGCTTTTCCTGTTGTGTTCTGCCCAGCCTATGAGTTAGAGGCGTTTTGTGTCTGGCAGGGGCTGTGCCAATATTGTGGGGCATCTTCGTTTCTCTCCAGATAAGACTTAGCGAAATGGGGAGAGAAAACTCTGTGATATAGCTGAGCACACTGTTATGTAGCAAACTGTTGGCAGTACAGTCTTTGCTAAAAAGAGAGAGGCACAAGAAGGTTAATTTCATGTGGTTGAAATTCATGGATGTATCTCTTCTCCTTGCAGTTGACTTCCACGTACCTGGCATGTTGCTGCTGATCAGCAGCATTTTCCCATCTCTCAAAGAGATCCATTGAATTTTGCTGGCAGTGTGACAGCCCAGTGTTCATTTAGGCTTAGAATTTATACTTTAAGACCAACATATGAATTATAGCGGGCTGAGAATTTTGAGTATTTATTTACTGGAGTCTGATTCTTTAGCCATCCTGTCTCTTTTTTATGTTTTGTTAGGGTTTCTTAAATCTTACTGTGTTTATAAATGGTAATGCAGCCACATAGTAAATGCTCTGCATAAGTATTTTAACATATTCTTATAAAAATTTTTGCCATATTTCTCATTCTTTTAATTAAATAGTCTGACCACTCAAGTCCTTGAGGACATTTTTATTCAATACTTACTTGGACTTGTTTAAAAAACAAAAACAAACAAACAAAAAAGCTGCATAGCACCGCTGACAAGAACAACTGTAATTTGGAAGAACAAAGTAGTATAACTTAAAAACAATCACAGTATCCCAAAGAATCAACCCTTCAAATTATAGTGTTGGTTAGCACAGTGTTTTTTTTCCCAGATCTTTGTCAGAACAGCATATCTGATACTGGTCAGCAGAAAGGCCTGTTTCATCCAGACAGTATAGATGCTATCCCAAGAGCTTTGCAGAACATTTGTGATCACGAGTTCTGTATTGTTAAATCTCCCCATTTACATGTATGCTGTGTGGCTGTTGATCTGGCATGTGATTGAAGGAAGAAGTAATTCTAACTGTTCATGCAGGTATTGACAGACTGGAGACATTTGTAGCTTATATAAGCAATTTGTAAATTATATAAAAAAGGAAGAGGAAGAAATGATGTTGGACTCATAGTGAAAGCATCTTCTGATGGAAGCTATGAATTCTGGCCCCTTTGGTTTTCTTCTGTAGATGAATTTGCCTGACAGAGAAATCTGTGTAGGCCATCTAGTTGGCCTTTTCCCTGTGTTCAGGAAATGAGGTGGATCTTGTCAATGGCTGTTATGTGTTGGTCATAGCAGGAAAGAATGGTTTGAGATGACTCCTTCAGATTGCTCCCCTGGGGAGGCAGATTTGCACAGTAACATGTTACTGGAGCTGCTGTTTGTTTGAACCTATCTGTCTGCTTCACTGTCTGCAGTGAAAGCCCAGCAGCATGAGGGGATAGCTAAAACAGAAGATGCATATGGGGCTGTAGTGCATGGCTAGATTCCTGGGGTAGGTTAAAGCCTTTTCCAAGATGCCTTTTTTATTGCACTGTTAGCAGAACAAAGACTTTACAGCTATTATGTTTGCTTACTCCAAAAGAAGGCAGGGAAAAAGAAAAACACAAAATTAGCTTTTCATTGGAATGTCAGTATACCTGGCAGAGAGTATTTTTATTTTTGTTCTCCCACCCCAGATGACAGAGGGCTCGCACCCTCTGCTAGGAGCAGTTATCAGCACATCAGGTCTTCTGTTTTCTCCTACTCTATGCCAGTGAAATATTCTTTGATGTGGGGAAGTGGTACAAGAAGGGATCTATACAGTCAGTTAGACCTAGCAGGAACAAAGTAGCAAATACTTAAGACTAAAGCTTTTTCCTTAGGATGAGTTTCGAATGCACTTAAACTGGAATAAATCCACTGAAGGGTTATGTTAATGCATCTCCCAACCTATCTTACTAGTCTGCAAAACAGAACTGAAAGTTAAATGTTCTTTAGCAGAATTTTAGTTTTAAAAAGAACAAAATTTGCGGTTTCTTTGGGTTGTATTTCTTAACAGTACTCCAATCCAGCCCTGAGCAGTGCAACCCTTAAAGTACCCACAGAGAAACCCAAAGAAGTGTACCCCCTCAGCATTCTTTTTAAGGGTTGAAGCATGGTAATGTGCTAACCTTATCTTTTGCTCTTGAAGGCTATAGGGTGTGTATTCTGTCTTGTGTTTCTGAATATATGCCCACTAACAGGATGGGATCTGTGCATGTCCTTTTCCATCCACTGTCCAGACCCTTCCATTTCCCCTGAAGAGTGAGTTGTTCACATCTTTGCTTGCCTGAATACAAATGCCAGCTAAATACATATATATACAGCTTTCAGTGTGTATTCACTTCAATTACTGTGTCCACAGTTGCCTACAACTCTTCTTCATTTGGTGCTTCTCCTGCTAGCTGGCTCACCTACAGCTGCAGATAATCATTTGGAAACTGCTGTGAAATCACCTCCCATGGAACTGCATGGCTTTTTTTCCCCCTTTTTGCTCTTAATGGCCCAGCTGAGGTCATGTCTCACTAATAATAGGTAGTGGGGGGAAGTAGAAAGTACATTATCTTCATGTGAAGATCTTTAAATAATATGAATGATGGTATAGTATCAAACTATGACCTTTTTTCCTTTAACTCTCCAAAGGTCAGAGACAAAAATAGCATGTGTATAAAGAAACTGTTTTGTCCCGAACACAATTGTTTGTTGTACAGTCAGCTTTCCCTTTGTTAGGTCAACTGTATGAACAAGTTGGTGCTGATAGCATCGAGTTTCTTTGAGGCAGGGAGGGGAGAGGAGGCAACATGCTGTGTGCGCTGCATGTGCTTCTCTGGGCAGGCTCTCCTGGTTCCTGTAGCAGTAGCGTTTAGCCAGCCACACTACCCATGATGTACTTCTCAAGCCTCTCTTGTTTTACAGTAAAACGGAAGCTTCTGTCTGCAATATAATTGAAGGGGTCAGTGAGAACCCAGTAGGAAACATCTTCAAAAGCTTAAATATTCTGAACTCACCTCTGAATAGGATAATTTTAATAAAAGCTACTGTCAGAGTTTTATTGTTAGAAATGCTTCATAGTGAGAGACAAAGTTGCTGTTGGCTAACAAAAACAAGAGAAAATTGAGGAGTACAGCGCCTGAAGTATTGCGTGGAAGTCATATGGGTGCTAATTGATCCTTCTCAGGGATTGCTGCTACTGGGAGCTCTGTAACAGTGCAGGTGTCTGATCCTGCTGCAGCACCCTCATGTGGCTTTAGCTCTCACAAAGCTGGAGAAGTATAAGGTTATAAATAACACTCTGCTTCTTATTATTCCCTCTTTGTTTAGGAGCGTGAGCATGTTTGACATGAGAAGTGAGGAAGAAGCCATGGCTCAGCCTCACAGCAAAGCTCGCCATGAAAAGCTGCAGAATATACACAACCAGCTGAAAGAGGATGAGACCAGGTGGCAAGATGTGAGTGTACCACAGTGTCTGCAGTGCTGGCATTAGGGCCTGCCAGCTGGGCAAAAAAGCAAGACTTGCTAAATCTGTTGTTGCTCTCTCAATCAGGACCCTTTTTCTTCATTTTTTTTCAGTGGTTTGTTGAGAAAAGCATGGAAGTTCCTATTTTGTTGTACATTACAGGACACACAGATGAACCAGGTCTTTTGCTTTTTAAGAAAATGTGATTAAAATCTGATTGCATAAAAATGAAAGCAGAACACTCCCATTTGGTAACTTCTCAAATTTTTCTAGCTAGAAAATTCCTGAAGTGACAAAGTGTAAGACTAAGCAGGGTGATAAATATATGGGTTGGACTTGGCTTCAATAAATTTGGTTACAGAAAGTGTCAATACTTTCCATCTTATTTAAGCAAACACATTCCCCTTTAGGTTAGATACACCTTGTTTGTATTGCAAGTCCTTTCCAACTCTTTATTCTAAGCATTTTTAAGTTGTTGTGGCAATTTTACATTATCTTCAGTAAACTGAAAGCATTAGAAAAACACTGTTCACAATTTGCAGGCAAATTAGTATCAGGAGCTTCAGCATCAATCCTGTTAGTTCCTAAAGACTGATTTTAAATGAGGAATATTGGAGTTGTTTTTTTTCTTTTAAATCTCTTCTAACAGCTAGTACAGTAATTTCCAGTTGTAAGGACAGCTGCTGTGAAACAGGTTTTTATAGAAAATTCAAGGCAAAGCCCCAAAAAGGAACGGTATATACAACTAATAAAAAACTTTTAGTAGAACAATGAAGGATTTCAGCTGAGTGGTCTGTATGTGTGGGAAGCCATAATTTCCCAGCAGAGATAAGAATGAGCCCAAAGGAATTCAAGAGGTTTGAGAACTCTTCACTATTGAATGGAAAATCCTCTGAGCTAAAGTGCACAACTTTTCCAGGCCCTTAGCACCTTACACACCAAACTAAAAGTTCTGAAGTGCTACTAAATATTCCCATAGTGGAATGTCCTTGGTATTCCGAGGGTTTTGTAGAGATGACACTACATTCATGGTCTCATATTCTTTACATGCTCATGCTGTAAATTCGCCAACAATTAACAGTTTCATAGCTTTTTCTAATGAATAAGAGCTGAAAAATATAAACATCTTCTATTTAATTGTAGAAAGAGAAAGGCTTATGTTATGAAATTTGCTAATGAAAAACTAATTTCCAAACAATAAGCAATAGTGGGAGTAGCTGAATAAAGAAGCGCTTTTGTACTTCAATGAGAATTAGTAGTAACTGAGGAAGAGGAAAGGACCATGTCTCACGAAGAGGTTTATGAACTGATATATGTAGGTCACATGAAGAAATACTTTAATGAGCACTCCCTTGAGTGTAATGTCAATAATTTGTGGCTTTAAGCTAAATTAAAAGTGACAAGGTTTGTTCCTGGTTTTAATAAAAGTAAGTTATTCTTGCAGTACCTTCTGCTGTTTACCAATAGAAATGCAATTAAAATATTTGGAAAACCATGTAATTAATGAAATAACCTTTGAATTGAGTATGTGTACAGAATCTCTGTTTTTTATTAAAACCAGAATTTGTTAGAGTGCATGAAATATAATCTGTATACTAATCTCCTGATGTTGTAAAGTTAATTACAAATGTGCCCCCATGGTTTCCTATGAGGTTATTTTTCTTTGCAAAACTTCTGTGGAGGTTAATTTTTATTGTAAAATTCTGTTCCTTTTATAGTTGATTATTGAGAAATTTTACAGCTTAGAAACACTTCTTCGCTTGTTTTATTATGAAACAAATTCTCTGTGTATGTAGTACTTCTGAATTCATAACCCAAGCAGGATGCAGGACATAGGTGTGTCCCCTGTATTTTTTTTGTTTTAGAGTCAGGCTGATTTTGCAGGAAGGATAAGGAACTAGAGTCACTGGGTTCTTTTTGGCAGTTTTGGACAGGTGGCTTCCAAATAGAATATGATTAGTACTTCAACAAGAATGTATTGCGTATTCAACAATAATTCTGGATTGCTGCGTACAAATGATAGTCTTGTTTCTCTGTCATATCACAAGCCTACCAGGTGTGAGCCACTTTAGTCCATAGTGTTGCTGAGATCTGGGCCCAAAATACTGGGGGACGCTCATAAGGAAGAGACAAGTAACATTTTCATTTTATGGTATGATCACCTTTTCTCTTTAAAGCAAACACCAGAGCCTGGTCCACAGGCAGATGCAAGCATTACAAAGCTTGGCTGGCTGGATTCATTGATTCTTTAAGGCTGGTTTTTAGCTATTTGCAATTCTGCATTGAGCTGCCTTCTTTCTCTCGCAGGACCTGGCTCGGTGGAAAAGTCGTCGAAGGAGTGCTTCCCAGGATTTAATTAAAAAAGAAGCTGAGAGAAAGAAAATGGAAAGATTATTGTCTGGAGAGGGAACAAACGAGCGCAGAAAAAGCATCAAAACCTATCGAGAAATTGTGGAAGAGAAGTATGTTTTCTTAAAGAAGTGCAGAGGCATGTCTGAAAATGCTGTATGGTTCATAGGGGATAGGTGGTTGTGGACAACCATGGTTGCAGGGACGGAGTAATGGAAGGAGAAGGATAGTGATGGAGCAGAGGAAGTAGGAATGATTTTTAGTGTGAATTTTAATGTGATGATCTCTCTTGCGTCATCTCCTGTGCAGAGAGAGAAGAGAACGGGAGCTTCATGAGGCTTACAAGAATGCAAAGACCCAGGAGGAGGCTGAAAGCATTCTCCAGCAGTACATCGAGAGATTCACCATTAGTGAAGCAGTCCTTGAGCGCTTGCAGATGCCAAAAATCCTGGAAAGAAGCCATTCAGTGGAGCCAAATTCCCCACTGAAAGACCCGAATCCTCTGAGATACTTAAGGCAACAATCGCTGCCTGCTCCAAAATTCACTGCCACCATTGAAGCAACCATTGTTCCCACCACTGAACTAGAGCCCAGTGGTTCAGCAGGCCGCACATCTCCCAGCAAAAGTGTTATCTCCAAGGCTGTGCCTATGCTGACACCCAAGCCTTATTCTCAACCCAAAAATACACAGGAAGTTTTAAAGAACTTTAAGGTAGGATACATCGCACTCCTGTAAGTAAGTTAGGAAACAAAGAGATCCTGACTAAATAATCACAACCTGTAAATGATAAATGCAATTTAAGTAAAAAAAAATTAGAATTATACTGACGTTAAAAAATTCAGCTTCATGCCTTGTCCTTTTCAACTTTATGGTCTTTTCTTGGTTACCAACCTTCTTAGCAACTTGACCATTCAGACGAGAATATTTGCAGTGGTCATTTTTTATCAGGCTATTTCTTCAGGGGACAGAACGAAAAAGGGGCATTTTGTGTGGAACAGGTTAGGAAAGAGTATGTTATCATGCTTTTTTTGTTTTTAAACAAGGAAGGGAGAGGCAGAGAATGCAAGTAGGATGCTGAAACAACAATGGAGAAAATAAAGACCTGGGATGTGTTAAAACAGGCTGGGATAAGCTAAGTTTGAAGAAATCTGCTTCTAAGAGTGCCTGTACAAAAACTGAGGCTTCCCCAAGTCTCATAGCAGCCTCTGCAGTTGGCAGTGTGAAACTTACTGGCAAGAGTGTCCCAAACCTACATACGTCTGGTCCCTTGTGTCTGCCATGGCTATGTGCTACTTTGATTGTGGTCCCTGCAATGCTGCTGGTGTCCCAGTAGCATTGCTACTGTGTGTATTCGCGTTGCTTACCCTTATAAAAAGTTAGTTTTATACAGATGGTGAAGAAGCATGTTGTGATGTTCGTAACAGCTTGAAATCTGTCCCAGCTCTTGAGAAATCACCTCCCACACAATGCTTTTTTCATTGAAATCTGAAACTGACAATTCCTATTTCTCTTCAACCTCATTTGGTCTTCTGCAGTATACATTTTAGTACCCAGTCAAGTTTTTTTGTATTATTTTTATTATTTTTTTTCTGTGATCTCTCATGGGACTTGGACAGATGTGTCATACTCATGTTAGTTTATATATAGTTCACATATACAGGGAGAAACTAACACGTGAGTGCTTTTTCACCCTAGCCCCCACTAAAAATCTGTCCAGATCTTGTTTGCTTGATGTCAAAGAATGTGACTTAGTTAGAATGACTCCCTAGACTATGTAGCTATTGCATTATTTTGCACTCAAACACCAGTCTTCAGTGATTCTTGGCTCCAGTGACAATGTATTGACTTGCTCCAGATCAGAAGGAGAGGAGTATGTTTGTTTAACTCTGAAGCGAGGGCATCTGTCCTGATCATTCAAACATTTGGTTTTCCTCTCTAATATAAATAGAGAAATGTCTTAGTCTAAACAGAGACATTAAAATGGATGGTGTGCCCTGCCAGTGTTTTTCTGGCTTTTATATTTCTGAGGTTTTTCATGACCTGTCTCTCTAGTAGATAATCCAGCACACAGTCCCAGAAGACTTGGGGCTCAGTGTCTGCCCACACTTGCATTTGGAAATAAACCCTCAAACTTGTGCAGAGGGGAGTGATGGCAGCGAGGAAAGGGAGGGAACTTTTCACTTGAAAAGCAGTCAGAACTAGTGAAGTGCTTGCAGAGCTGTTTCACCCCAGTTTGAGGACCAGTGGTGTGAAGTGCTGATGACCTTCACATCCCTGAATTTCTGAGGATGCCCAGAGCCTTGGGAATGAACTCTGGGTTAATTGCCCTGAGAGGAAGAACGAATCTCTGGATACATGAAGTCAGCAGGAGTAGTTTGTCCTTAGCACAGCACTGATTGCATATACTGAGTTTACTCCAGTAAAGTACTAAAGTTAAATGGATAGGGAGCTAAGGAGTGGGACAGAGAGGATGAGCTGGTAAGAACTTTTCTTAAACTGCGTGTCAGTTTGATAAGGTGATTTTGACACTTGTTGCATCAGTTTTCAATAACAGTGAAATAAGCAGAAAGTTCCCAAAGAAAGATGTGCCTTAGAGCTTGTTTTTACTTGCTTTTCATTTGTGTGGCACACGTGTAGAAATTTGAAACAACTCATCACTATATGGATCCCGTATTGCTTCTTAAAGAAATCACTGGTCTGTGCTGTTACTCCCCCAAAGTCCAGTCAGTAGCAGGGGATAGTTTGTCTACATTTACTCTATCACCTTCATGTCTCTTGTGGTGATCCTCTTGCATGGAAGGATCTTTGTGCAGAGTTGCAAAGTCCTTCTCCAAATCTACCTAAAACTGAGCCCTGCTGACAAGCCTGTAAGCATCTCTTGCTGCAGGTAAGCAGGAGCAATGGGGTGTACTCACAGATGGTGCCCTTCTGATTCCTCTATGGATTTCAGCTGGGATCTCTTACTGTGACTAACTGTGTATAGCTGGATTTCTACAGACAGCTTGCCAAATGGAAGGAACTGTTGAAGTGTCACCAATGCATCATTCAAAATGTAATTCTCTCCTAAGAGAAAGCTGAATGAGTGCAAAGGAAGAAACTAAAGCTTATTTCGTATTTTCTTCCTTGTTTAAGAGTCCCTCAGTAAGAATGTAGGGCTGTCAAGGTGCTAGCTTAAGCTTAAGAAAAAAGTAGTTAAATTGATTCTACTCTCTCCACAGTGACTGCATAAAGTCATTTTTTGGGGAAAGAGGATATTTATTTTACGGTCTCACAGAGAAGGTGGAATGCCCACTTTTATTAGATAGTTTCTTGCTTCCCTGTTATGAACAGTAGATAAACAAGTAGATGAATACTGCTGCTCCTGATCCTTCCAAATTCATGTGGCTAAAGTACGGTCTAGTAATGCTGTGGTGAGGCTGTCAGGTTACAGAGTAGGTCAGTCTGGAGTGCATACTTGCCTCTTGCGTGACACAGTGTGAAATCCTGGAGTTTTGGTCTAAATATAACCTAAAGCATTGTTCTTCTTTTAAAATCCAGGGTATGTGTGATGTGCATTAAGGTTAATTTTCTGTTACTGGGAGCACAAAATGTGGGAAACTGGGAAATTCAGGAAAATCCATAATTTCTGCTCTGTATTTTATTTAGGAACCCCAATTAGACTGTTTTTTTCTGCTGTCTTGTCCTGTTGAAATGTGTACTTGGCTCTGTCCTGTAATTATGGTGTAGACTGTGATGGTGATGTTGTATTGAATTCCTGATTTTCTAAGCTTGCTTGAGTGCTAATTTCCTCAGTGTATTTATTTAACTGTATTCTGCAGGTAGATGGAAAAGTCAGCATGAATGGAGAGAATTTCAACGGCGTTGAAGAGAAGGATAAAGAGTGTACAACAGTAATATTTACTCAATCGCCAAGCAGATCTCTGAAATTTGACGGAGTAGCCAGCGGGGACAGGCCCCCCATAGAGTTGAAGAAGGACCCCACAAGTGTTGAGCTCAGTTTACAGAGGCCTGCCACTCAGAGTGTGCACAGAGAGCCAACAGTAAGAGCAACACGAACAAACCAGCCTTACTTTCTTTGCCAATTTTCTGTCTCATGATGTATTTAATCACTAACTAATGAAACCCGAATGGTTATGTTTGTTTTATTTTGAGAGGGTGTGCCTAGACCAGGAAAAAAAAAATCCTTTGTAAATTAAAGGTTTCTTCCTTTGGGATGTGGGTACAGAAATGGGAAGGGAAGGTTCAAAAACTTTTTGCAGCCAGCGTTTCTTTTTTTTGGATGGCATGCAACTGATAAGCATACTTCAAATATGCTGGGCCAGGGAGAAATTGACTCTGTGTCCCAGCCATTGTGCACATTTATTCAGCTCTTCTCCTGATGTTAGCTGATTAGATCAGCAACATAATTGGACTGTGTGAGCCACTATAATTAGTCTCAGTTTTCAATTTTCAAATGAGGATGTGAATGTGCAGGCAGTTTTGAGCATTCTGCTTTCATTCTCCTCTCAGAAATATTCAAAAAGGGGAGAAGCTATTGAAATACTCGAAGGACCAATGTGCTTCTTAACTGCTTCATCAGAGAAGCAAATTAATTTTACCTTTTCATTTTTCTCTCCCCTTCCCCAGAGAGGAATGCAGAAAAAAAAAAAAAAACGGAGCATATCACAACAGGAATCTAGAGGCCACAAAACTGTAATAAAAGTAGATGGTTAAAAACAAAACAAAACAAAAAAAAAAAGGACTGGACTGTTAATAATGCATGTTAAAGGATTGCAAACAAGTGTCAGGAATGGGAATTTTAACATTCCTTTTTTGTATAACTACAAAGAGAATGTGCTGAGAGTTGGAGTATGATAATTTTTGCTTTTATCTAGATTTCTTTCAAATATCGTCCAGGTGGATAATAGGGAGTGGGCAGGAAGTGATGGTTCATTCATGTCAAATGTTGTACATCTTACCTTACTTCCCTGCTTCATGACAGTCTTTGGCCACAGGCCGCCCAGCACGCATGGACACTGGAATGTGCCTTGAGTACAGACTTGATCCTATCAGGGGGAACTGCTGTAGAGTCAGGAGTTAACAGTTTGCAGGAAAGCAGACAGGTGGCAGAGCTGAGACTAGTTTCAGAATAAATTGGGTCTAACAGAGAAGCCAGGTAGGCATTGCATCTGATCTGGGAGAGCTAGGAATGGGAATGGTTGGAGGATGGAGAGGGGCCTCAGCTCGCTCTAGATTAAAAGCACAATGGTAATCAGAATAGTAGCTGAATAAAATATTACTATCTCTTTTTTTACTATTTCCAGACCAGCATAGTTGTGACAGATTTAAGAGGAAATGCAGCAATAGCAGCCATTGTTAGGGTTTGGGCATGTTTGTGTCTGGGTGGTGTTCTCTCATCCTTTCTGCTCTGCAGCTTTAAGGCTAATGTGACAGCTGAATGCCTGTTTTTCAGCTTCCAGTGTCTTAGCCATCCTGGTAATACTGGCAAACAGGCAGAAAAAATTTGAATTCCCAGATTCTTTACAGCTCTGAGATTTGTAGAATAATCTCCTGGTTTGTAAAATTGAATGCATTTAATGATAAAGTCATTTGGAGAGAACGAGCATGCACACAAATAGTGCAGCTTCTCTGTTCTAAGGAGAGATTTTATATCATTAGCTTCATGATCTGATCAGTAACATGACTGGCTAGTGCAAATTGTAATAATTACTCCAGGCGCATCGGCCTCGAACAAAGGTGTGTGTATCAAGCACATTAAGGGCAGAGCGAGGTGAGGAGGCTGTTTTGAGGGAATTTGCTGTGGGGAAAAACAAATGGAATGTCCTGGGCATTGTGAGGGCAGAGAGAGGGGACCTGCCTATGGCTGGAAGGGAACTTGCTAGTCTAAGATGAGGTTTACTGTTTTGGTTTGTCTGGCAACTTGTTTCTCTTTACCCAGATCCTTAGTTTTAATTTTCCAGGCAGTAATTTAGTAATTTACACAGAAGTGCTTAGTTCATGGCTACGAAGGGCTTAGGTACCAAGTTACCTAAGAGTTGGGGTATGGTGCTTACATTTGGCTTCATCACCATGTGTTGGTATGCAGCTCAGCGCTGCCAGGCAGCTCCATACAGATAGGATCAGTCTGGGGCCTTACCTGCTGAAATAGGGCTGCTACCATGGAGTCACTTCATTCAGCCACCTTCCTGTTTTCCCTTGATTTCTGAACAACTTTGTACAGTGATGTCAGCCTATATCTACAGAGTTCAGAGCATTAAGCACATCTCTGAAGATACAACTCCTCTTAAGAAGGCTGAGAATCCACGTGTGGAAACAAAAGAGCCATCTGGGCTTGTCCCACTCCTTGTAAAACACCTTGGAAGTAGGAAAACCTATGAAGCTGCCACTGCATCACTGCCAGCTGGGGAAACCAGGGCAAGGCTGAAGTTAAGACTCTTCTAGCTAATGGTAATGTTGCTACTGTCATGTGAAACAGCAGCTCAGTTGGCCACTCTGTCTTTTTGTGAGATGGTAATAGTGTGGCATTTTTCAAAAGATCAGTTTTTCTCTGTAGGGGTCTGATCAAGCAAATGCTGAGTTTGACCCACTCACAGAATTTTTGTCTGACACTAAACCCTACTGTATTTTGAGGAGAGGAGAAGACGTGAGCAGGGATAAGAAGCAGCCACGATGAAGAAGCAGAGCTAGCTGAAATGAAAGAAGCCACTTTCCACTGAGAAAAAAATTTACAAATAGATGCAATATTTTCAGTACATGTTTTCAAAGCCTTTTCTAAGCTCGCTTTCACTGTGGTTATTTCTATGCTTTTATTGATTGTTGTAGAGACTTGATAGCTATATCCTTCCCAAGCCTGAAGTAAGAATCAGGCTGTTCCTCTGTCTGCTAAGAGATGCAGTTTCTAGGGTAGGGTGTTTCTTTTTCCCTCCAGTTGCTCTGGATTTATTTTCTTTTTGTATTTTATTTGTTCAGTTTCCTCCCCATTTCTCTGTTGTGAGAACATATATTCCTTTTCATACACGTGTTACCTTTGTCCCTCCTGTCCTCCTCGTATGATCCTCTTCCTGCTCCTTGCATGCCCCTTCCTCCTCCATCCCTCTGCTGGCTGCTCCCCTGCTGTTTCAGTTCAGTTGTCAGAGTGGCTGTTCCTGTCTTCTCTCTGCCTGGCAGCCTTCCCTTTGAAGCTCCGTAGCCCTGCTCTAAATCTGTCCGGCTGGCCTCAGGCATTGTCTGCAATATGGGTAGATGCTGTGCAGCTGTACTTCAACAGCTCTCTTGGCCTGAATTTTGGAAAAAAAAGTTTAGTTGAATTGTACCACTTGAAACACCAATGATTTAGGAGTTTGGGGAGCTAGAAAGACATAGGAGTCATTTTGTATGGGTAATACCTCAGTGGAGGTTGTGCTTCTGACAAGGAAGCACCCTCACATATATGTGAACCCTGTAATGACTGGTGTTCAGAGACTGAGTGGGAAATAGAGGCAACTCCTGTCTGAATTCATTATGAATTGGGATGCAAAAGGTGCAGCAGGTAGGATGAATGGTAAAGAAGAATGTTTTCAATAAACTGTGGTTGTGTTGGTATTATATGTTTAGAGTTCTTAGATTCTTTTGGATTTTACAGCAGACTTGCCTTGATTCAAAGTAGCTTGCCATATTTTGTCTCCGATTGAAGGGTGACTATGCATGGAAGGGTAAATTTGGCCTATCAGCAGAATAAAAATATCCCACTAGTATTTGCAGAGCAAGGTGCAGCTAAGAGAGATGGCAGGAAAAGCACAGCTCCCTCTTACAGTTACAAAAACTGGGGCAAGGGCCCCAGAACTGAAATGTTCAGAATGCTCTGGTCAGGCATTGGTCAGCAGCAGTGTGAAAATCATCTCCAGAGCCTAGTTCTATCTGTCAGCCATTAGGTTCTGTTTTCATTCTGATATACATAGCAGTTACACACATTACAAATACTGAGAAATTGTATTCTCTTACTCTTTGAATTAGAAGTTGGCAAAATAAATGTTTTGTTTTAAAACAATATTCATGCAGATTTTAGTATAGAGGGAATAATTTGTCAGAGTTACATCACTTTACTTTAACCAAACTTTGAATAACAATTTAGAAATGACTGGCTTGCTATAGTTCTAATTATAGCTTTGCTCTGATCAACCACAAAGAAAATAAATGTAGACAGCAACTTTAAAACAATCAGGGCGAGGTGGGGGGAGATTGAGGCTTTCTTTTAATTTTTAGTTAGCCGGCTTAAACATGTCCATTTCTACTCACTGCTTACTTGGCACAAGAAGAAACTTTTTTCTATATCCAAGTAACACTCCTTCATCTTCAAAAATCCACTGGTTGAACTGAGATTAAAGTATAAGCTTTCTTGTGGCTGGGGATTGTTGGCCAAACTACAAGAGAAAAGGACTGAAATCCTGATTTGTACAGATCTGGTAAGACAAGTCTTTGTTCTTTGATTCATTACAAGAAACACTTGCAGAGTAAGTAGATATGTTCCAGATTGACAGCTTTTCCTTGAACCACATACAGGAAGATGCATGGAGGACTGGGTTACCTGAATAATTAGGGTGAGATATAGAGCAATGAAACTTTGAAGTAGGTAGAACAGAACTCTGCTTAAGATGTGTTATGAATTTAATATCCATATCTCCCATCCTCCAGGCCCCCATCCAATTTTCAGTGTCTGTCAGTGATGGGAGATTATTTTATGTCCCAACTGAGCGATAATAACTAGAACAAATAACTCTAGTAGTAATACTTAACACTATTTCTTTCAACACTTTGAAGGCTTCTCTGTCAATTACTGATCCACCCTGTCTTTGGCTGTAAGAGCTGATCTGATTATAGCATTATATAGCTGCCAGTAAAAGAGGCAGATGATTTAGCGTGTCAGAGCAGTGTTCTGGCTCTAGTACTGCATGGACATGGCACACGCTTGGCTGTGGCAGCCCAAGGTCACGGTAGTGTTACCATTCAGAAGACAAAATGCTGGTTCTGATTAGAAAACCATGGTATGGCATTTTAAAATCTTACAGTAAAACATGGAAAATAATGCTATGTATATAATCTCCATTGAAGAAGTTTAAAAGATGTGTTAGGTAATTTGTACGTGTGGCTATTGATACTGCAACCAATTACATTCCTGAGTGGTTTTACAGAACTCAAACCTCAGTTCTAACCTGATTCTTCCATATTTCTCTGCGTTCTTGCTGGTTCTGGACAGCTTGCTTTGTCACTTTTTCATACAAAATACAGTATTAACATTTTATGTGATTTTGTGTACAATAGTGTTAACCGACCTACACTTTGGTTTAATTTACAATAAGGTTAAATAAAGTTCTACTGTAACTTCATTTGGAGTTTGAATTCTTGTAGAAGTTGTGAAGTTCAGTGTTTTGGGAGTTCCTAGTTAGTGTATTTTTAGGGTTTAATGAGGTTCTGATGCAGCAATAAGCATTGTGGCTGTTTTTTGCTTGTACAGTCATAATTAAAGAAATGCCTGTTTGTGGGATAGAAGTCCTTTCTGCCATTAACTGAACTGATTTATTGTCACACCAAGCAGGTGTTTGGTAACACGGCGTAGGAGCTTCCCTCTGAGGTATGTGTAGCAGAGGCAGTGATGCCTTTTCCCACACAAATACCTGTGGTGCAAACAGGCTGTGTAGGTCCTTCATCCTCAAGTGTGAGATCTGTGAGATTTCAGTGGCCATGTCAAAACACAGACTTTGCAGGTGCTATTAAAATGTTTAATGTTTTTTCCATATTCAGTGATAATATCATACTTTGACTACAAAATACTTATGAAATGCAAGTGATAATCTGTGGTAGAACATTTTTAGAAGTATCATGTACCTGTGGATAAAAGAAAATATTACATCACTTGGAATTATAAATAGAATTAGATATACTGGGAATATGCATTCCCCAGTGATGTTCATTTAATTTTTTTTGTAAATTACTTACTAATCAGTTTTATATTTTTAGCTTTATGTTGCTAACATTTAATTTCTCAGTGGAGGAAAGAAGAGTCAAGTCTCATGAGCAGGAGCAGGGCTTCTGCAGCAGCATGTCATTTTCAAATTCAGTTTTCCTGCAGCAAGTAGTAGCTTTTTTCTTTTTTTTCTCTTTTTTTAAACTTCTCTTTTCCATAAATAACATCTGTATCTATACCCTGTTCAACCTCCATACTGGATAGTAAGATAGAAGGTAGATTTATTCGTAATTTCACTTATACAGGACAGCAGCAACACATAGCACTATGTGTAGGTTCTCAAGAGAACTCTAGAACTGGAGAAGATTGCATCAACTCAATGCATTTGCTCAGCCTCTTAATTTTGCAGTTTGAGCAGTTGCTTTTTGAGAGGGGAGGATGAGTTCTGTTGCTTTAACAAAAATAATAATAATCTGAAGTTTAATGATTGAAACATGCAACAGTTGGAAGATTTATGCTTTAGGGCAGTGGATAGAGAGAGTTGTTGGGTAGATGCCTTTTGAATTTCCAATTAAAATGTGCTTTGTTGAGGGCAAATACTGAGTTTTCAATGACAGCTATTTAGTATTAAGAGGTTGTAGAACCACAGAATAACTCAGATTGTAGGTCTGTAATGGAGTCCTCTGCTTAAAGCAGAGAGAGGTGTGGGAGCAGACTACGTTACTAATCACTGAAGCCTTGAAAACCTCCAAGGATGGAAATGGCAATTTGTAACACTGCCTGATTGTCCTAGAGGAGAAATGAATACTCATTTCTGTTTTGGGCAAGGTTGGAGGGAACAGGTGAGCTGGGGAAGGCCCAGATGTATTATGCAGAAGAAGAGAGCAATAGAATGGCATAGGGCAAACCTGCTGTGTTTGCCTGGATTTGCCACCTCTGCCTTGCCTGGAGTGTAAGCAAGCCTTGGGTATATAGGAAAGCAGCAGGCAGTGCTTGGGGCAGCCCTCCCCAGTGAGCACAGGTGGGGACGTGCTGCCACTTAGGATGCTCAGAGCTGCCATTGGCATCTGTCCTGCTGCAAGGTGAGGGCTCAGCCTCTGGCTGCTCCGGCTGTTCCCAGCTATTGACTGCCCATAGGCTTGCTCTGCTCACTTCCCTACCCACAGCCCTGCACTGAGACTTGCTCACAGAGGAGCAAATTTCATCATTCCACTCTTACAGCTGTTAATAAGATGAAAGACAGGGACAGGAAAGGACATCTACAGTAGGCTAGTTCTGATACGGTTGCTTTTCATTTCGAAAAGTAATCTGCTTTTTTTCCTTTCTCTTTGAATGCGCCATTTTCTCTCTATGTTAGATCAGCTGCTGATCGATTTGCTGCAGTGTTTCTTCATTTGCCTACTGGGAAATGGGATGTGAAGTGGAAGCTGCTAAATCAATCAGCTGGAATGTTGCTGGTGTGTTGCTGGTGTGGTTAGCTATGCAGTGGGCTGTGCTGGGGCAGGAAGCTGCCTTTTCACAGCAATTTGGATTATGGGCTTGATATGGTCTCACCATATTTTTCAGCACTCTTTTAATAACTTTTCAAGTATTTCATTACCTTCAATACCAACTCTGGCCTTTCCCTCCAGATAACAGATTGTTTAGACAACCGTGAAATAAAGGAAGTATTTAATTCCGTTGACACTTTTAAAGCCCTCCTATGTGCTATTTTTTCACTGATGCATACATTTTGGTGTTATTCTGGAAGAGAAAACTGGGGGTGAAATGTATGCTTATCTCCAGCTAACACAATTCGAGATATCCTACAATTCTAAAAGCTGTTATAAGCTGTTCTAAAGCAACTGCATAATGGCTGCTGCTGAACTTTCAAAAGAGAAGATTAAGGCCCAGTGACTTGGTGCCAGAGCAGCAGAGCTGCTCACGAGCTCATTCTGCGTGCTGCTTCCCAATGAGCTCTAAACAGCGCGTCAGGTTACAGAGCAGCAGCAAGCACCTGCCCTTCTGTCACCCATCTTTCCATTTGCACTGTACTGACTGTCTCACTCCTCCACAGACCTTGCCAGGGGAAGCGGATCCGGCCACCAGCCAGCAGGCAGAAGGCAGCCCTGGAGCAGTAGGACATGGGAGCCCAGCAGAGCTGTCCCCAGGTGGGTGGATGGCTGCTGCCCCAGGCTGATTCCCATCCAGGGAAATGCCTCCCTCATTTGAGGAGATTAATTTGCTTGTAAAATGCAAAGCTGCTCATGAGGGTGTTTCTGAAGCATTACTCAAAATACGAGTTTTATCATACTGAATTCATGAACTGATTTTTGTCCATTTTTTTTAAATGGATCTATCAAAGTTCAGCTTGATGTGGGTTAGCTAAAGGTACTGTTTGAAATAGCTGTTTAAAGGAAATCTCTTCCTGTAATTGGCACGTAAATATACTGATCCTGTTTTCTGAGGATAAATGTGACCTAACCAACTGAGCTTGGCTCTCAAGCATCAATGGGTACCATCACTCCAAGATTAGAAGCACATCCAGCCTTTTCCTGACAGCTGTAATGCACACTGGCTGTTAGCAATGTCAGCTGGCTTAATTACTTGGTCTCATAAATGGAAACAGACCAGCCTTTCAGGTAGGAAAATCATTGCATAGCAGAACAGAGCTTAACAATCTGGAATTCCACCTGGCAAGTCACACAGAAGCTGCAGTCTAGCATTGAACCAGCCAATTCTCTTCTCAACAGTCAGTGGTGAGAAGCTGGGGATGTTTGTCTACGAATCACAAAGCATTTTATCAGGCTCCACAGCTGTGAGGAACACTAAATGTTAAGCACTGATAGCAAAGGAAACTGACTAAGAAAACTGAGCAAATGCAAAAGCTAAAATAGTAAAAGGGTGGATTTTCATTATGTCTGCTTTACAGGGGTAGATGCTGTCCAAGTTTTGTGATCTTGTAGAGTAGGCAATGTGCTTATCTGGGTAGCATGTTAGAGAAGGCTTCATCTCACAGCTTTGGAATGTGCAGTATAGAGATCTGTACCTCAGCAGGCATGTTGTAGGCTGCAGCTCATTTCAGATAAAGAGAAGTAGCTGATACAATAGGGTGGTCCTTCCCCCCATTAAGTGCCTCTGTGCTTTTGTTGACCATGACAGATGTCCCACAGTAGTGACCAAGTGTCAGCATCTACTTTCTGTCAGGTGCATTTCATTCTTAAAGTTTTGTGTTCCTTGAGAGATTCACTTCACTTGTGTTGCGGAAAGGAAATTTAATGTGTGTGTATATATATATGTATATATATACACATACATAACCAGTTTATGGGTTCAAAATATGCTCAGTAAGAAACTGGACTGACTGGACTGTAAGAAATAAGTCAATATTTTATTTGAAAAAATATCATACCCTAATGACATTCTTTTATATATGTGGACTAGGTTCAGAACAAAAGCAATTCAAGTCAACTGTAGTTTGTGCCAGCCCTGTTGTGAAGAGCTTAGAATTTTCTCCTAGTCCTGTCCCTCCTGAGGAAACTGCTCCATGTGAGAAAGATGTGAAGAAACCTGAAATGGAGAAGCAGAAGGAGGCAGCGCTCCCTGCTATGCAGGAGGTATGTACAGCAAGAAAGGGAGTGGAAAGTGAAACAAAGGAAGACCTCACGAAGAAATGTGTATTGTGCAAATAGCTGGTTGATATTTCCTCTCTGTGTAACATTACATCAGGAGTTCCTTCAAAACATGTCAAGAAATGATGCTGAAGGTTGATTTCTGTTCCAAATCCAGTGATCATCAAGTGTCCCTCCTCCTGGAGGAACCTAGAAACTGGTTGGAGCAGAAAAGGGTACTTAGCCTGCAAAGCCCAGCCCCTCCACTGCTGGGAGAGCAAGGCATTCAGAAGGTGAAGCAGTGGAGCTTGCCTGCATAGTCTTCTTAAAGTGTTGAATAAGCACTGGCAGTAAAGAATGGCCATGACCATACTGAGATACATTAGTTGTTGGTCTTAAGTTAGAATGAGCTTTGGTGTGCAGGATAGTGTGAATACTGAACTAATGCTTATTTCCAGACTTAATGTTGTAAGTCCACATTGTAATTCTGGAGACAGAGGCTTATTAATCTTTAATAATATTGTTTCAGAAAATAAATAGAAAGGGTTTTAAGTTAACCTTTGATTGTATCTGCTGATTTTTTAATGCAGTTTTCTGTTCCAAAATGTCTGAACAGGTAATGAAACCGAATGCCCTAGAACAAGAAGGGAGTGTAGTATTGCCGTTTTTGAAGAAACTGCCAGAGACCAGCCAGGTCACTCTGCATAATTCTGATCTGCAAGGTGAGCAAAAAGAAAGGTTGGAAGCTGCAAAGAACTCAGCTGAACATAACTAGATGTGTGTTGTGTTTAGGGGGAAGTGCCTAATTATTGAACTGGAGGTTTCAGGAGATAAAATATTTTATTTCCAGTTGCATCTGACTGATAGAAGTCCTCTGACTTCCGTGATGCAAAGAACTTTTCTTGCTGTTCCCTTTAAATACAACAGCAGGATTGTGACACGGAGGAGGGGGGACAGGATAGGCACTAACTTGCAATTTGTCAAGTTTAGCAATTGTTAGGATGCAATGTTATGGCCATGGCTATTATATTTTATTAGTACTGCTGCTCACAGATGAAAATGGCTTAGTGATTGGTTTTATCTCACAATAAAAATTCCCGGAGATTAATTCTGCACTCAGCTGTAGCTCGTGTTTATAGATAAACAATGCTTGTATCTAGCCATACCTCTCGATTTGATCAGTGCATATCACAAGTTCCTGCAAAGCAGAACTTTTTCTTTTGCCTTCCTGACAAAGTTTCGCTTGAGATTGGTAAT